CACAGATACGGAGCTTCCTCTGTGATGCCTGTAATGAGCTAGGCCCAAGCGGGGAGCAGTGGCTGTGGCTGTGCCAACCCCTGAAAATGAAAGCATTTCTGAGCGTCTTTCAGGCCAGCTCACATAGCAGCCAGCCACACAGGTGACCACCCTCTGCCGCTGTCACTATGGGTGTTGATTATCATTATGGTTTTCAGGAAAGGCTGGGCTTTGGCATAGTCGAGTCTGATCCTCTCCCTGAGGGCATTTCTTCTGTCTCCAGAAGCAGCATTTCACTTTCCTGAACATCAGCTCTCCTCCCCTGGATTGCAGGGTCTGGGGCTTGTTCTCCGTCTGCTTCCAGCTTTTGGCATTTTGACAGCACATAGGACATGCTTGGCGAACGTTTTCTTGGGTTGCGTGAATTCAGGACACTGACTTGGGGCTGGAAAGGCAAAGTGAGGAAGAAAGTATTCCCCCTTCAGAAGCTCCCCAGTCAGTCTTGAGAAACAAAGGCAGCCCTGCCGTCTGCCCGGGACTTTACAGTTTATAAAGTGATTGCTCACCCTTTCTCCTTTCTTGTAATGCACAAATATCAAACGAGAACCTGCGGCGTGCGACTGCGCGGGGTGCCTGTGCCTGGAATAAAGGAGAAAAGCCGCTGTGCTCTCTCTGAAGGAAATCGCAGAGAGTGAAGCCAGCTTCACGATCCCAGAATTTCACAGATGAAGGGACTGGAGGCTTGGAGCAATTGCATTGCTTGAGATCCCCCCTGCTCATGGATGGTGGCTCTCAAATCAGTGCACGAGTCTTCTGAATCCCTTAAATCTTCCCTGTGCCCGCCTGTTCTCCTGGCACATTCTTTGTACTCTCTCATGCTGCTCCTCACCCCCTCTCCATACGTCTCTACTTCACCACCATTGTTCTCTGCCCACTCCTAGCCCCTTCTTTCAGCTCTGTTTCTTCTGAAGATGAAACAGAAAGGCACTTTCTCTCTACAGTGCCTTTTGTGGGAAGGGATCTGCTGATAGGGGGATGTGTTTGGGAACATGGTCTCTCCAACCTTCCCTGGGAGCAGAGCCTCGGGTCTCACCGAACCCACCTCCCCAGCACTTTGTGTGGTGACTGGAAGGCGGTAGCCATTCCCTCCTGTCCTCTCTGCCCTTGTCCACTTCCCTGCTATGAGTCAGGTGCTGAGATAGACTGTGAGGAGTAAACAGAGTAGATAAAAAAAGAGCTTTATCCTTCTTTAAAGTCTTTAAAATACACAGGTGTATTAGTCAGAGTTTTCCAGAGAAACAGGACCAATGGAAGATGCAGATCGATGCATATCCATGTCTATATCGATATCTACTTTGATATTTAAATCTGTATCTAGGAGATTTATTTATTATAAGGTATTGGCTCATGCAGTTATGGAGCCTGAGGGGTTCTGTGATTTGCCACCTGCAAGCTGGAGACCTAGGAAAGCAGCTGTTGTATCAGAAAGGGCAGAGGGGTGGAGAGCCTGTGGTGTAGATTCCAGTCTGGGTTCGAAGGCCTGAGAACCAGGAATGCCAAGGGCAGGAGAAGATCGGTGTCCCAGCACAAGCAATCAGGCAGAGATGAAATTCAACCTTCTTGTGCCTTTCTGTTCTATTCAGGTCCTCAGTGGGCTGAGCGAGGCCCACCCCGCACTGGAGAGGACCATCTGCTTTACTCAGTCTCCCGGTTGAAATGATAACCTCATCTGGACATACTCAGAAATGCTGTTTAACCAGCGCTCTGGAAATCCTGTGGACCAGTGAAGTTGACACACAAAATTAACTATCACACTGCAGAGGCACCGTCTATTTACCTGTATTTACTGGGTAACGTGCATCTCAGCTCACCAGGCTGGTTTCACTGCCTTGGCCCAAAGCTGCCCTTTGAGTGTTGATCCCTAGCTGACCCCTTTGATCCTTCATAGCCCCATCTTTAAAACAAGAACCCTGAATCAAGTGACTGTAAGAGCCTCTCTTGTCCTGTCCTGATTGTATCCTGGCTTTGAGTGTTTGCCTAAGCTGAGCCCGATGGACCGTTGTCATTCTTCGTCTCTGTCTTGCTCAGACATCAGTTAGGTATTTATTGAACACGCTGTGTTCACAGCATCCGGCTCCTGAGACTGGACACAGCTCTTGACTCCTGGTTTTGCTCTTTGCAACCTATTGGACCACTTTCCTTTTAAGATACACCCCTCACATTATAGGAATGTATCTAATTGTTTGTTCATTTTCTTTTTCTTTTTTTTTTTTTTTTTTTTTGAGACGGAGTCTCGCTCTGTCGCCCAGGCTGGAGTGCAGTGGCCGGATCTCGGCTCACTGCAAGCTCCGCCTCCCGGGTTCATGCCATTCTCCTGCCTCAGCCTCCCGAGTAGCTGGGACTACAGGCGCCCGCCACCTCGCCCGGCTAGTTTTTTGTATTTCTTAGTAGAGACGGGGTTTCACCGTGTTATCCAGGATGGTCTCGATCTCCTGACATCGTGATCCACCCGTCTCGGCCTCCCAAAGTGCTGGGATTACAGGCTTGAGCCACCGCGCCCGGCCGTTTGTTCATTTTCTTAATTGTGCATCATATCAGTCCATCAGTCAGTTTTCCTCCTGAAATATGCTAAGTATTGAGAATTATAATAGATACTATTAAGCGCCACTAACAAAGTGCTATCCTTATAGTAGTAGTAGTGTTTGAGGCGATGGTCGTGTTAGTACTAGCAGTCATCAAGATGGCTATGAAGAGACTACTTCTAATCTACCAGTAATCATGGTAAAAATAGTAATAGCTCAAATGCATTATTCATGGTGTTTCAAGCACTTTACATTATAATATCTCATTTACTCTTCACAACCTGTGAGGAAATGGAGATGATTATGTAATATGCTCAAGTTTGCAAATGAAGGAATCTTCCTGCGGAATGTTCTGGGCTTTTGCATAATTTCAAAATTTCTTTTCTTTTTTTTTTTTTTTAACTTAAGGTTAATGTTTAGAAGCTTTTACTAATGCGAGGACCATTTGCTAAATCTGTATAAGTGCTACACATTTGGGTATCTCCATCCCAACATACCTCTTATTGCCATTGCCTGAAAGCAGACACCTTCTCCTCCCTCCCTCAAGGACCTCTGAGCTTGCACTCCAATTCCTCCCCCACACTCACCTTTCTCCTTTCTGTTCCTCTTGGGATCCAGGTTTATTTGAGGAGTTAGGAAAAGCTCCTCAAATATTTCCTTCAACTTTTGCTCCCCACGGGGACTATCTTACCCTGCTCCCATTAAACTCTGAACAATGTTATCAGCCTGAAAAATGGATTGGCATAAGTGTGTAATGTCGAAGCTGGGAGGGACTGTGGCGGCCATCCAGCCCCCTGCTTTCAATGACACTTGAGGAAAATCGAATCCAAAGGCCAAAAGCAGCCGGGATCGGTGGCTCACTCCTATAATCCCAGCACTTTGGGAGGTTTTATTCTTAAATTTGTAACAGTAAATAACAGAACCTCCACCCAGCGTCCAGGCCTCTCGTTCTCTCCCTCATTCCCAGGTATAGGCCGGGTTTCAGAAACCCTGCACCACATAGACCCTGGGCCTGAGTTGCTGTGATTAATAATGACTCTGCTGGTAATTTGTGTCCTTTTGCTTGTAACTGTTTCCTTTTTAGTTTGGTCACCCTCCCAGAGCTGGATGCAACGGAGGCATACTCACTGTGGGATGCAGGGCATCCTGCATCCTGCGGAATTTTTTTTCCTCCAAAAATGAAACCTCGAAGTTAGGACATTGTCCTGTCCATGGACTGTACAACAACACTGAGCCTCAAGGACTCATATTGGCATTTTTCTTCTTTCACAGAGCGTGAGCACCTTGGCTTCAAGCTCACGAGAAATCAGATCAGGACTTAACGCTGGGTTAAACAAAAGTTTCATAAAGATAGAATCAAGGAAAAAAAAAAAAAAAGAGAAACCAATGTAAGTGCCATCCTCCCTGAATTGCATCTTACCTGAGTCTTCAGCCGCTGCCCCCTGATGCTGTGGGAGGAAACGGGAAAGTGACTGGCCATGGGGACATGGGTGGGGGAGTGTGAGGGTTAGTGGTAGTAGGGAGGTAGTGCTTCTGTGAAGCCAGACAGGAGACCTGAGCCTGGCTCTCTGCTTTGCTGCTTGCCAGCCCTCTGGCTGGGAAGAAGGCTCTTGGCCGTTGTGAGCCTCGGTTTCCTCTGCAGAGTGGGCGGTTCTGAGGACTGGCTGACATTGCTGTCCGTCACTCTTCCAGGACCCTGAGGATTTCAGCTCTACCCATGGGCACTGAACTGAACATTCACTGGTCATTTGGTTCTAGTTTAGTTTTTTTTTTTTTTTTTTAAAGGAGTTTTACTCTTGTTGCCCAGCCTGCAGTGCAATGGCGTGATCTCAGCTCACCACAATGTCTGCCTCCTAGGGTCAAGTAATTCTCCCCAGTAGCTGGGATTACAGGCATGAGCCACCACATCTGGCTAATTTTGTATTTTTAGTAGAAACAGGGTTTCTCCATGTTGGTCAGGCTAGTCTCAAACTCCCGACCTCAGGTGATCCACCTGCCTCAGCCTCCCAAAGTGCTGGGATTATAGGAGTGAGCCACCGAGCCTGGCCGCTTCCGGTCTTTGGATTCGATTTTCCTCAAGTGTCATTGAAAGCAGGGGGCTGGATGGCCGGCCGGCCGGCCTTCCTTCCTTCCTTCCTTCCTTCCTTCCTTCCTTCCTTCCTTCCTTCTTTCTCTCTCTCTCTCTTTTGGAACATCCATACTTTCTGGCACTATAAGATGCTTAGGGCTTATCTTGTATATTTCCAGCCCCAGTTATAGAATCAGCCATTTCTTCAAGGATCCCCTGTCATTTTATTGGAGAAAGGACTTAGAATCCAAGATCTGGGTGCTGGATGTGCTTGAGTTGTTATTTCCTCCAGATCTTCTCAACCGACAGAGCAGTGAAATATATGTGTGTAGGGAGGATGGGGAGAACAATTTTTTAATATATATATATGAATACTTATCTGGCAGGGGACATACCATGATCACGAAGGTGGTTTCCCAGGGTGAGGCTTATCCATTGCACTCCAGCTGTGCTGACCTCTGTGATTCCCCCAAATGTGGGAGACTTGACTGCATAATTTGTGGTAATGGGAGACTGCTTTTGCACTCTCCCCTGTAAAAAATTTTAAAAATAAATACATAAATAAATAAATGTATATATATGAATCCATGTGGATGCATGTATGTGTAAATATTTCTCCAGGTATCCATCTTATCTATGTAAAACTAACTATGAGTTCATACTGCTGTCTCCAACTCTAATTCATTACCACATTCACCCATTTTTTTTTGTTTGTTTTTTTGAAATGGAGTCTCACACTTGCCCAAGCTGGAGTGTAGTGGTGTGATCTCAGCTCACTGCAACCTCCCTCTCCCAGGTTCAAGCGATTCTCCTGCCTCAGCCTCCGGAGTAGCTGGGATTACAGGTGTCCACCATCACGCCTGGCTAATTTGTGTACTTGTAGTAGAAACGGGGTTTCACCATATTGGCCAGGATGGTTTCGACCTCCTGACCTCAGGAGATCCAACCACTTCAGCTTCCCAAAGTGCTGGGATTACAGGCATGAGTCACCACGCCTGGCCTCCATCCACTTTTAACAAACTTGGTTTTTTTGCCCACATTGATTGATAAAAGAAGGTAATGAACGGAGACGTTGGAAAGTTCACGTGGGGCAAGAACAGTGGGCTAAGAACATTGGACTTTTCCCTATGGTCAGTGTGTCCTCATACAACAAAAATCAAGATGAGTCAGATGCATGTAGAAAGAGACTCCGAAATGTGTACTGCCCAGATGTTTGCAAACCGGGACACTGTGTTATGTTCACAGGCCTTTGAATGTGTCTCTCCCTGGGCTCCATGTGCCCTTTCTGCTTTCTGGACTATCCTGTTCAGCTTCTGTCCTCCTACTGACAGCCTTTCCTGCTTCCCTTTCCCTCCCATGCCACTCCCACTGCATACAACCTCTTCCCCTGCACACTGCTCCTAGAACCCCTGGGCTAGCCCCGTCGGGGTTGTCCTTGCCTTCCTGGGACCCGAGGCACACAGAATGAGGATGAAAGTGTTGACGTATCATGTAGAATCCCCCACCTGAGTTCTTTCTCAGCCAGGCATCCCAAACTCAATTGTCTACAGAGGCCAGACAGCCAATAAAAATAAGTGACGTGGGCCTCCTGGGCAGTCAGGAGGGCTTGGTGCCGAACTGGAAGCACCAGAAGTAACGAAGAGCCAGGAGATCAGGCCAGCACCTGCTCTGAGTGGTCAGGTACCTCCCTGGTTGCTTAGCAAGTCAGTTGTTGAGAAATGTTTTGACTATGGTCCTTGTGTATGCCCAGTATAAAGGGGGCAATGACCAGTCTGTGGCCACTGCTTATGGCCCTGAAAGTCTGCAGGCCCAGAGTGGCCAGACCTGGTTTTTCAAAGGAAAACTGGCAGGTGGGAAGGACAGAGGGCCTTGCCCCTTCCCATTTGCCTCCTGTGCCTGATAGTGTCACCGTAGCAATACTTTCCTGGAGGCAGCACTTTGTCCCATAGCAATAGTTGATTTAGTGTATAGGGCTTTTGTTGTTCTTGTTTATTCCCATACCTGGAACCAGCTGCGTTGTGCTACTAACAGAGATGACAGCCCAACCTGGAGCTCTACAAGGTCCTCCAGGCTTCTCAGTTCTGATCATCCCACCCGCAGATCCCATCACCAAAGGGGTGTACTTGCTTTATGCAGCTGCTGCTCCTCCCAGACCTCATTGTCCCCCTTGTGCCTTTTCCGTGTTCAATACATGGTTTGTTTTTTATCTGAAATTCTACCCGTTAAAACATCTGGTATGTTTCCTCTTCTCTTGCGAGGTGTATTTCTGTATTTCCTACCTTTGTATCCTCTGCTCGATTCAACTTGAAGCAGGTTTCCAAGCTCATCACTTGGAGGCCCAGGGCATTGCCACTGCCCCCCACCCCACCGCCCACCGCCCACCTGCAGGCCTGTGCCAGGAAGCCCTGTGTGCTGTCTGCACTCCATTTTGCTGCTTGTCCACAACCGTCAACCATGACTGCTCCTGAGGGGCTCGCCAGCAGCCCTGTTTCCCAGCCTGCTGTGTGTAAGGTGATGCTTCGGGTTTTCCACAGTGAACAATGGTTCCCAGAGTGGGCAGGACTCCCTGGTGTCTGCAAGGGTGTGTGACTGTGCAGGGTGGAAACAACCTTGTCAAAATAAACCAGGGCAGTGCTGAGGGGGGAAGTGAGGCTGGCTGGGGGGAAATGTGGGCTGAGTGCTTCTTGGGGGGTTTCCTCTGCACCAGTGCCGGGCCGCTCAAGGGTCCCAGAAGGCAGAGGCTGACACACTTCCTGTAACCCTTTCAGACTCGCCATTGGCCCCCACCAGATCAGGAATCTGTTTTCCCTTGTTCACCTTGAGCCAGTCACAGAGTGGGAAAGGTTTGGTTATAGAAGGAAAACAATCCTCCTTCCATCATTCCCCCTTTACTCCTGTGTTCGTCCATTTGGGCTGCTGTAAGAAAATACCATAAACTGGGTGGTTTACAAACAACAGCAATTTATTTCTCACAGTTCTTAAGGCTAAAAGTCCAAGATCAATGCGCTGGGAGATTTGGTGTGTGGTGAGAACCTGCTTCCTGGTTCAGTGTCTTCTTACTGCGTCCTCATATGGAGGAAGGGGCGAGAAAGCTTTCTGGAGCCTCTTTTGTCAATGCACTAACCCCATTCATGAGGACTCCACGCTCATGATCGGATTGCCTCCCAAAGGCCCTACCTCCAAATCCCATCACCTTAAGGGTTAGAATTTCAAATGTGAATTTTGGGGAGATAGCTACATTCAGACCGTGGCAGCTCCCCAGCACAATCCTGCTCGACCGAACTCAGCTTCTTGACCAGGCACGTCAACAATCTTTCTGTCCCTCTGATGCCAGAACTTTATGTTTCTGAGGGTGAAACTTGAGTGATTAATTCACAGTATTCCTCGGGATTCCTCTCTGATTGTTGACTGCATAAATGAGCGAAAGACCTGGATAATCCCTAACAGGTGCCTGAGACTCACATCAGCCCTGGGTGATTCCCCATGGCCAGGGGCCCACCTCAGTTTCCAGGGACCCGTGGGCATGATCATTATGATGAGCCACTACTCTCCAACCTGGCCTCTGCACCTGTGTGACATTTTCCTCCCATTGCTTTACATGTTACTTTTTCTTATTCAGTAGAATGTGCAGATTGGTCAGGGTGTGTATTAGTTTCCTACAGCTGCTGTAACAAAGTACCACAAACTAGGCTGCTCAAAACAACAGAAATGTATTCTCTCATAGTTGTGAAAGCCAGAAGTCTGAAATCAAAAAGTTGTGAGGGCTGTGTTCTCCCTGCAGACGCCCAGAAAAATCCTCTCTTCCTCTCTCCTGTCCTCTGCTGGTGGCTGGCCATCCTTGGTGCTCTTTGGCTTCTCATTGCATCATCCAAGTCTCTGCCTCCATCCTCCCGTGTCCTCTCCTGTGCGTTTGTGTCCAAATTTCCCTCTTCTTAGAATTGCATCTTCTCTAATCCAGCATGACCTCATCATAAGTCGATTACATCTGCAAAGACCCAATTTCCAAATAAGGCACATTCACAGGTACTGGGAGTTAGGACTTCAACATATCAGTTTTGGGGACACAGTTAAAACCACAACAGAGTATGAGGAGAAAATATTACAACTTCCTTTCTTTTCTTTTCTTTTCTTTCTTGTCTTTCTTTTCCCTTCCTTCCTTTCTTCCTCCTTCCCTCCCTCCCTCCCTCTCTCTCCTCTGCTCCCTCCCTCCCTCCCTCCCTCCCTCCTTCCTTCCTTCCTTCCTCCTTTCTTTTTTCTTTCTTTCTTTCTTTTTTTTTTTGATGGAGTCCCACTCTTCTGCCCAGGCTGGAGTGCAGTGGCATGATCTCAGCTCGCTGCAACCTCCATCTCCCAGGTTCAAGCGATTCTCCTGCCTCAGCTTCCCAAGTAGCTGGGACTACAGGTGCCTGCCACCACAGCTATTTTTTTTTTTTGTTTTGTTTTTGTATTTTCAGTAGAGACGGGATTTCACCATGTTAGCCAGGATGATCTCAATCTCATGACTTTGTGATCTGCTTGCTTTCTTTCTTTTCTTTCTTTCTTTCTTTCTTTCTTTCTTTCTTTCTTTCTTTCTTTCTTTCTTTCTTTCTTTCTTTCTTATTTCTTTCTCTCTCTCTTTCTTTCTTCTCTCTTTTTCTCTCTCATTTCCTTCCTTCCTTCCTTCCCTCCTTCCTTCCTTCCTTCCTTCCTTCCTTCCTTCCTTCCTTCCTTCCTTCCTTCCCTCCTTCCCTCCCTCCCTCCCTCTCTTCCTTCCTTCTTTCCCTCCTTCTTCCTCTTCTCTCCTCTCTTCTCTTACCCTTCCCTCCCCTTTCCTTCTCTCTCCTCCCCTCCCCTCCCCTCCTCTTCTGTCTCCTCTGCTCCCCTGCCCTCCCCTCTCCTCTCCTTTCTTCTTCTTCTTTTTCTTCCTCTTCTCCCCTTCCCCTTCCCCTTCCTCTCCTTCTCCTTCTCCTTCTCCTTCTTCTTCTTCTTCCTCCTCTTCCTCTTCTCTCTGTTGCCCAGTCTGGAGTACAGTGGTAGGATCATGGCCCACTGTAGCCTAGACGTCCAAGGATGAAAAGATCCTCTCTCCTCAGCCTCCCAAGTACCTGGAACTACAGGTATGTGTTCCCATGCCTGACTAGTTTTTATATTTTTTGTAGAGACAGGATTTCATCATGTTGCTCAGGCTGGTCTTGAAGAGATCCACTTGCCTCTGCCTCCCAAAGTACTGGGATTACAGGCGTACACAATTGTGCCTGGCCTGTTTATTTCTCTTTTATAAAATGTCTTTGTTTTCATCTCTGTTATAATAATAATATAGGCATTCATATGTGTAAATTATAAGTGAGTTCTTATATAGATTTGGGGGACTATTCTCCAACATGACTGATGAGGGCATAGTCAAAAGACAAATTAATCAGGCCACCAGTCTGATTTATGAAGGGTCCCTGTCTTAGTCTATTTGGGCTGCTATAACAAAATATCGTAGACTGAAGAGCTTAAACAGTAGACGTTTATATTCTCACAATGCTAGAGGTTGGGAAGTCCAAGGTC